AGAGCATCGACAGAGAAGTGATCCTGAAGCACAGGAAACCTGGAGAGTGGAGGAAGGGGCTTTTAAAAGATGTACCTCAGGGTTATGAATCATATCCCTCTAATGTTCTTCAATAAGTAAAAGTAAAGAAGATAATCACTCTTTAAAATTTCCTTGCTGCTAAATTCTGCCTCTGGAATGTGACTTTGTTCAAAAATAAGAAATCCCTAGATGTATAGGAATTAAGTTGTCGTCATCATCATTGCCCTCAATATTTATTCATAGACTTGAGATTACAGGATGAAGGGATAAAATCATTTTCATGACTAATAACGTTTTCCTGTTTAGAAAGACTGCCCTGGTGTACGCTGGTTTGGCTCCCTTTCAGGAGAACTGTATCAAGTTCTTCCCCTGGTCTTGCGTGCCGGGGCTACTGCTGGTTGAGCTTCACTGGTCGTCAGCATCACTGTCTAGAAACCTGCATGTACTTCTGGGCTGGCTGGTGCCGGGACTCATGTAATCTCTGGGGAGGAAGGATGTAACTGGAGAAGGCTATTTTTTCACGAGCAGCAAGGGCAAAACAAGGACTTGACAGCCCACTTCTTGGCCCCTCTGGCAGTCATATTGTAGGGGCTAATCCTCAGCATTTATTGTCTCAGCAGCTCCGCAGTACGCGTACACATCTACATCCCAAATTGCAAAAAGTCAAATCTATAATCTAGTTTACCCAACTGATGGGAACAGCAGTTTAGCCTTGAAAGGATACAATTCTTAGAAGTTTCTCAGAGGAGTTCTTTTTTCACACAGGGTTTCAACAGGAGCTCTGTTATCTTCTTGACCTGAATACCTAATGAAAAGGTAAATACAAACAGTATTGGATAAGCTCAAGTTTGCAATTAAATGGAAAGCAAAATTTAGAACAACAGCAAAACCCTGATACAGATCAGTTCACAAGAGTCATATAACATTATCAGCTCTGTAAATAAATAATGCCCCTGGCCAGAGTAAAGAAATAGGAAGTGGCTACCTTTGCATTATAAATGGCAGTAGAAATGAGGATATTCACACAAAAGAATGGCCACGCTAGTCACCTCAGTCTGATTAAAGAATAAAATAAAAGAAATATAAAAAAATAAATATTTAGGTCAAAACATCATGGAGCAAGACTGTATGTACCTTCTGATCACAGTAATAATTCACAACACACCCATAAGAGTCAAGGCGATGTGTTGAATACGTTTTGTGTGACACTGGAATCTCTTTAGTAAGACATGATAAATGTTTCTGGAAATGTGAAGCTGCCATGAAGTGGGCAGCTTTAAAAAAAAAGAAATTGTTTGACATATTTAAGTCATTTTAAAGGGAGGCTTGACGTTCTGTTGAATGGATCAAATCTGACAGAAAGTTTTAATTCCGAAGCATTAGACAGAAAGAATTTTGGACCCTGAGAGACAGGACAACATCTAGGATGCTTAGTCCTGAAGCGGAGTGACCCTTACCCAGACAGACACAACCCCACCCCCACCACGTGCTGCAAACCTACGTGAACATTTTTAACTATGTCATAGACAGCCGTGAATGGGAGAAAAGTACTTTAGCACCTGGAAGGGCGGTGGGTGGGCTAACCTTGGAAAGCCTGGGGTGAGTGGCTGGCTTCAGCAAGCTTGTTTGCAAATGAAGCTTGGATCTTTTTCCAACCAGAGTGAAATCACCCCACCCCATGCAGTCACCGCCAGCAGCCCTCTGCTCTCTCTGCTCCCAAGGGCCTCCTCTGGAGTCACTCCTCCTCCTGCCAAATGCCGGGACCCTCTTCGTGCGCGGGGAGGGAAGTGGGAAGACGGGGCACATAACAGAGGAGGGGGCCTTGCTTCGTCATCTTGAAAGAGGGCGACTAAATAAGCCTCTAGAGTTCTCTTGCGCTTTGTTTCAATGCTGGCACTCTAACAAGACATCAGGCTTGGTTCCTTCCATTGGCAGATGAAGGGAGAACAGGACAGTGCCCAAACCTCTAGGGTCCCGTGTCAGCCTTTTAAGAAATTAAGTCTTCTAAGTTCTTTTTTAAAAATTATGGGTTTTATTTCATAC